CACCTCTTCAACCTCAGCCTGGCCCAGGAGAAGGTTCCAGTCCTGTGGAAGACATCCTGCCTTGTTCCAGCTCCAAAGAAAACTCGCCCATCAGTCAATGATGACTACAGACCGGTTGCCCTGACATTCCACATCATGAAGGTCCTGGAGAGACTCCTGTTGGTCCACCTGAATAAGCAAACTAGAACATATCAGGACCCGCTGCAGTTTGCTTATCACCATGGAGTTGGAGCTGAAGATGCCATCATCCAGCTGCTTCAACCAACCCACTGTCATCTGGACAAAGCAGGCAGCACTGTGAGGGTCATGTTCTTTGATTTCTCCAGTGCATTTAACACAATCCAGCCTGATGTACTTTGCCAGAAACTCCAGAAGACACAGGTGAGGGCCTCAACTATCGCCTGGATTAAAGACTACCTGACAAACAGACCACAGTTTGTGAGGCTGAAGAACTGCACATCAAACCAGGTGATCAGTAACACTGGAGCACCACAGGGGACTGTACTCTCACCATTCCTTTTCACCCTGTACACCTCAGACTTCCAGTACAAATCAGAGACCTGCCATCTACAGAAATACTCAGATGACTCTGCAGTTGTCGGGTGTATCAGAGATGGACAGGAAGCTGAGTACAGAGAGCTGGTGGAGCGCTTTGTGGCATGGTGTGGAAACAATCATCTGACCTTGAACGTGAACAAAACAAAGGAGATGATTTTAGACTTCAGAAGAAACAGGGTGGAGTCAAACACTGTTTCCATCATGGGAGAAGAAGTGGAGGTGGTTGAGGAATACAAACACCTTGGCGTTCACCTGGACAACAGACTGGACTGGAGAAAGAACAGCGAAGCTGTTTACAAGAAGGGACACAGCAGACTGCATTTCTTGAGGACGCTTAGGTCCTTCAGTGTCTGTAGCAAGATGCTGCAGATCTTCTACAAGTCTGTTGTTGAGAGTGTAATCTCTTCAGCTATCGTCTGTTAGGGTAGCAGCATCAGAAGCAGGGACCTGAAAAGGCTCAACAGCCTAATAAAAAAGGCTGGTTCTGTTCTGGGGACGACTGTGGAACCACTGGAGGAGATAATGCAAAGAAGGATTCTCCAGAGAATCAAGAAAATGATGGACAACCCTGAGCATTCTCTTCACAAGACTGTCCGACAACGGAAGAGTGTCTTCAGTCAGAGGCTTCTTCAGTTTCGCTGCAACACTGACCGCTACTGGAGATCCTTCCTGCCAACAGCCATTGTAATATACAACAACTCTTTGATGACTTCATTATTATTATTATCCTGAGCTCCTACAGCAATCAATTTCCCTCTGGGATTAATAAAGTATTTTTGAATTGAATTGAATTGAATCTCAGACTGCTGGATTCCTGACTCTGAATAAAAAGTGAACTTTTACAACTTATAAGTTAAATAATCATATGTGATGAATGAACAAGATGTTTAAATGAAATGTTTGAATAATCTGTGCTTAAATCAATGAAGTTGAAATGAATGTTGCACTTACAATGATCCATTGCAGGTCTTGTGATCAGTATGTGTTTGATTTAACAAGTTATTCATTATCTACACTCATACACATCTTCATTTGATACAAATTAAGGTTAAGGTTCACCTCACATAACGTTTAAAGATTCTTTATTCACAGAATTAAGAATCTTGCATCTGAAGGAAAGAGTGGCTTTCCCTCAACTGAGGGATGTTTGTAAATACTCAGAAACGTGTCAAATTCTGATTTGCCAGAATACGCCAGCAATCATAACCTTGTGATTTAATAAAACAAGACTTACTTCCCGAGTAATTCCGTTTCTAGCAGAGTTCCGAGCCGGCCAATTTGGAACAAGCATCCTTGAGACATCCCTTCTGACATACAGTCAAAACCTGTTTGCACACTGCAAGCTGACACAGCCAGACGGCTCCATAAGAGCCACACCCACTTTGGACGCAAAAAAACATTCCAACTACTGTTGTGACTTGGGAGACATCTCAAGACTGGATGGTACTGGCTCCCGGTACCGTGAGGTCTACCCGACCTCTGACAGTCAGGATCTGCTGGGGGTCTCAACCAGGGTTTGTAGACTCAACAGATTGCGTCTGATGCTGTTTTATTAATAATCAACTCTCTAGTTTATAGTGGACAACAAATTCTTTTACACCTAGTTTTCAAAATTTCTTCAGATACAAAGATTCTGATAAACATCTAGCTTACATCACACCACCTACACATCACTTTCCATCACTGCATATCCACTCCATCACATCTCATTATTCATATCTGGTTATGCATAATCATTAGTTTAGAAAAGAATAAAATTCCTTTTTAACTACTCTAAAAAATATATATATATAAACGCAACACTTTTGTTTCTGCTCCGATTTTTCATGAGATGGACTTAAAGATCTAAAAGTCTTTCCAGATACACAATATCACCATTTCTCTCAAACATGGTTCACAAATCAGTCTAATTGTGTGATAGTGAGCACCTGTGCTTTGCTGAGATAATCCATCCCTCCTCACAGGTGTGCCACATCAAGATGCTGATCTGACATCATGAGTAGTGCACATGTGAACCTTATACTGCCCACAATAAAAGGCTACCCTGGAATGTGCAGTTTTTTGCTTTATTGGGGGTCTGGGGACTCAGAACCGGTCAGTATCTGGTGTGACCACCATTTGCCTCATGCAGTGCAACACATCTTCTTCACATAGAGTTTATCAGATTGTCAGTTGTGGCCTGTGGAATGTTGGTCCACTCTTCTTCAATGGTTGTGCGAAGTTGTTGGATATTAGTGGGAACTGGTACACGCTGTTGTATACGTCGGTCAAGCACATCCCAAACATGCTCAACGGGTGACATGTCCGGTGAGTATGCTGGCCATGCAAGAACTGGGACATTTTCAGCTTCCAAGAATTGTGTATGGATCCTTGCAACATGGAGCCGTGCATTATCTTGCTGAAACATGAGGTGATGTTCATGGATGTACGGCCCAACAATGGGCCTCAGGATCTCATCACGGTATCTCTGTGCATTCAAAATGTCATCAATAAAATACACCTGTTTTCTTCGTCCATAACAGATACCTGCCCATACCATAACCCCACCACCACGATGGGCCTCTCGATCCACAACATTGACATCGGCAAAGCGCCCACCCACACAACACCACACACGCTGTCTGCCATCTGCCCTGAACAATGTAAACCGATATTTATCCATGAAGAGAACACCTCTCCAACGTGCCAGACGCCATTGAATCGCATTTGCCCACTCAAGTCTGTTACAGCGACAAGCTGGAGTCAGGTCAACACCCCGATGAGGACAACGAGCATGCAGCTGAGCTTCCCTGAGACGGTTTCTGACAGTTTGTGCAGAAATTGTTTGGTTATGCAAACCAATTGTTTCAGCAGCTGTCTGAGTGGCTGGTCTCAGACAATCTTGGAGGTGAACCTGCTGGATGTGGAGGTCCTGGGCTGGTGTGGTTACACGTCGTCTGCGGTTGTGAGGCTGGTTGGATGTACTGCCATACTCTCTGAAACGCCTTTGGAGACGGCTTATGGTGGAGAAATGTACATTCAATGCATGGGCAACATATCTGGTTGACATTCCTGCTGTCAGCATGCCAATTTTATGCTCCCTCAATGCTTGTGGCATCTGTGGCATTTTGCTGTGAGACAAAACTGCACATTCCAGGGTGGCCTTTTATTGTGGGCAGTATAAGGTACACCTGTGCACTACTCATGATGTCAGATCAGCATCTTGATGTGGCACACCTGTGAGGTGGGATGGATTATCTCAGCAAAGCAGAAGTGCTCACTGTCAAACATTTAAACTGATTTATGAACTATGTTTGAGAGAAATGGTAATATTGTGTATCGGGAATGAATTTTAGATTCTTAAGTCCATCTCATGAAAAATTGGAGCAAAAACAAAGGTGTTGCGTTTATATTTTTGTTGTGTGTATATCCCTGACTCTGTCTGAATTAATACGAAGTGTGTTTATGGTCCCTGAACAAGTAAAAGTAACTATAATCTTCTGATTAAACATTCAAAGATCAATCAGATTGCTATTTCATATTTATATGGAATCATCACATCTTATTGGTCATAATTAATTTGCTGTCATCACGCTATAAAGTGTAACCGCTACAAAGGAGACATAAACATGTAAATAATACCTTTATTTTCTATGACACGTAGATGCGTTCTTAAATATGTCTTTTGATCATTTCTCCTCCTCTTGTTTCCTAGAACTTAAAATAAGCACCTGATGGCTTTGACTATTTCTTGCCTGAGAAAAGCCTGAGTAAAAATGCCAAAACATTTTAATAATGGGATTTGTCTTCATGATGCCATTACCTCTGTTTCACACTGAAAGCATCGGCGGCACGGAACGGCTTCAAATAGAATCCATTATATGGAGTGTTTCAAACCAAACCAGCAGCAACGCTAAACATGGGATCGGGTTCTGTTTTTGCCGTGTGCCGCTTCTGGGATGTGTTATTTCCACAGTTAACACAGGGTTTGACAGGAAATCACACACGGTTTCAGTGTAAAATCACTGGTAAATTTCAAAATAAAAGTACTGTAGCAATGCTATTTCATATATATGAAGCTTACGTGTGACCCAACGGCTTATTTATGCACAGCATCATTCCAGAATTGCAGCAGTGTGTTTTTATGGCTTTAGTTCTGGCAGTGGAGAGGAACAACACCATATATGACATCAAACAGCTATACCTTCTTCTTGGTTTAATGGCAAATTGCATAAACAAACTGTGACCTGAAGTCTCGAGGGATCTTGTGATCTCGCGAGTCCAGCGAAGAGCACAGCGAGGAGGTCATGCCGCTGTCAACGCGAGTGAACTGTTCCGCTGCCTTTTCACGCCGCTGATGCCACCAGGGTGAACCTGTTTGGCCCCATCTATTCAACCTCTTGATCAGTAGATCAAATAAAAACCTGTACATTAAAGTCTTCATTTAACTTTTTTTATTCCAGATGGTTCCGAGTACCAGTGGTCATCCTGGTACAAGGGGTGCCATCCCCTCTCCGGGAGTTCTGTCTGCACCCATCAGAGTAGCTGACAGACCTGTAACCCAGCAGGGTCTCAGTGGAATGAAGACTAGTGTGAAAGGTATTATTCTGAAGATTGTTGTCCTGGGCTTGTGCTAGCATGAGTCTTTGTTATAGCTCTCTCTCTCCTTCTCTCTACCACCACAAACCCATTTCCCTTGAAGGACCTCAGAGACAGATTATGGATAAGTCCTATTACCTTGGCCTTCTTAGGTAAGTAAAATGTTATGCTTTAGCCTATGTTTACCTACAGCACCTTTTATGATGAATTTCTGTTAAAACGTAGTATCTCATTTTTAGCTTCTTAACAAAGTCTTCTATGTATCTCGAACATGTTTTAAACATCTCAGTTTGCCAGTGTCAAAAGGAGCTTTGACTCTGATTTTGCTGTTAGGGCCAAAATCAACGAGTTAACCACAGAGACCTCCAGACTGCACAAAGAGATTGAAAACTACAACCAGGAAAACTCTGTCTACCTCTCCTATGAGAAGAGGTGAGGAACTGAAAGAAGTCATTCATTTGGCAAAATTGGTCAATTCTGCCTCAAATCCTAAACTTACAACGTCCTTTTAACTTTTGCTGTTGTCTGTGTGTGGCAGAGCTGAGGGCCTGGCTGCAGAGATCAAGGACCTGCAAGGCCATCTTGCTGACTATAACATGGTAAGCAGTACTTGCACATTGTCAGGTTGGACATTTTCAGTCATCCAGAACTTAGCTGGTTGAAGAGAAAAAGACAACAGGAGAAGACATCACCAATATGCTGCTCAGGGAATTAATTCTCAAATTTACCCAAAAAACGGGAGAAGTCTGTTTCACTTAGCTACTAATTGATGCAAATAATAATGATATTTAGCTTTGAACATCAATTTTGTTTTTCTAACCTCAACTGTTAAAATTTTAGTTAAATTTGAAATCGGGTTACTTTGCAGAACCAATTCACACAAAATCCTCTGAGTGCTTAATGGTCTAAAGGCGAGTTTTCATTGTGGGAACTTCAGGGTAAAGTCTGGGAAGGGAAAATTCAGCGGGAGCTGCAGCGTCTCGGTCCTGTCAGCTGTTGAGTCTACATGCAAATAGAGCCTTTTCAGGACTTTGCACACAAGTCAGCATATCGCAACTGCGGTGAGTGATGTCACTGATCAGCGCCAAAAAGCATCCACAGCAACATTAATAACCATAAGTTTTATTCCAAGTGAATCATAATTAAATCCAGTCGGAGGAGGAGAGCAGCTGGGTGGTGTTCACCATCAGAAGGATTCAGTTGTTTACGCCTCTCTTTGAGACAACGAAGGCCCGTGATTTAGGTGGTTGTGGAGGAATTATGTGTTCAGTAACGGCGATGGGGGCAATTCTGCCATCTTATCCAGGAAGTTCCTGTAAACTATTTCAACTGAGTCCATGGCTCACCAGTGAAAAGTAGACAGGGCGTCTGCCTCACGCATTAGAGGAGTTTGGTAACTCTGTTAGAAACCAAAATAAAAATATATTATCTTGTAAATACATCTGTCTGTCCTCAGAAATAAGCTCAGCTCAGAAAGTGGGCTCAGTATGACATCACCTTTGTTTTTCAGTTAATGGACAAGCTCAATACCAACACAGACATGGATGACATGACCAGTGACTACAGCATGGTAAATACGTCCAACGAGCGGTGTTTAAAAGAGTACTTCAGTACTTCCTCTCATGGTTATGGTCTCTTCCAGCTTAAAGCACAGAATGACGGTGAAGCTCAGAGTATTGACAGCATCTTCACTAAGAGGAGAGAGTAAGTATTCAGTGTGTTTTCATTTGTTTTACCTAAAATAAGGAGAAATGATCTTAACGATGTAAAATATGTTTTATACATTTGTTGTGCATTTTACAGTATGAGCAATAACTGGATGGTACAACTACTGCCAACTAAGGATGCACCGAAATGAGAACTCTGGACCAAAAACCAAAAATGAGGAACCCAAGGGCCAAAACAGGAACACTGAAAAAAATGAATTATGTCAATATTTAGAACGATAGCATTTAGAACTCCGCTAAAAGCAACAGACATAGCGGGAGTGAAAAAGAAAAAAGAAACGCCGAGCAGACACGCTGGATCTGAAACCAAAAGTAAAAAGTGTGTCACATCATTGATATGAATATTCCGGTGTTTGTAATAAAACAGCATTACTTAAAGGGGAAAGACTTTACTTTAGAAATCAACATGAATTTATAATTTCTCTAAAGCAAAGAGCAAGTTGTCACATGAGGAAAGACACGAAACAGGGTTCAGCTGTCGGCCTGTTTCGGCCATGTTGTTTTGCTTATTTTGGTGTTTTGGCCGAAAACTGAAAATGCATTCCTGGGTCATTTTCGGTGCACCCCTACTGCCAACCATCGATTGGTCGTCTTTAGTCTCTTCAGGTTCCTGATGCTAATGAAATAAGGACAGCATTCCCCAGAGGTGGAACTACATTGTTGTGTATGTTTGCTGCAGAGGAGAGGAAGCAGTCCGAGTGATAGATGAGGAGATCAGCAAGGAAAGACGAGTTGCTGATGAAGTCATCCAGGCCATGCCAGCTCTAAATCAGGAGAAGTATTTCACCATGACAGCAGCCAACAAACAACTGCTACATGTACAGCTTCAGTCTGAGTCCCCATTAGTGATGTCATGTATTCACTGAGATAAATGTTCCTGCTTACTCCTTTACGTGCTTTTCTCTGAAGGAGCTAGCCGTCCTCCAGGAAGAGCTGGATAGTCTGCTAACAAGGAAGGGAGACAGTGAAGCTGTGAGTCATGTTTAACTAAAGTGGAACAGTTACAATGCAGGTATGTAGTGGAATTGCTTTGTTCTCTCTTGTGCACAGGAGATATCCCACTCTCCGACAAAACGAGAAGTGGTTCACCTTCATGACTTGTTGTCAGAACTGGAAGCAAAGCGGGATGCTATGGAGGCCGAGCACAAGAGCCTGGACTCCCCGAAGGAACAGAGAGAGAAGTTATTTAAGCAGGTTACTCAGAAACACACGGAAGCCTGATTCATGCTTCTCCGTCTGCGTCGGTGCGGAGACGCGCAACGTCCTTGCGAGCCTGCTGGAGAGCCCCGCAAGGACGGACGGAGTCGAGCTCTCTTTTCTAATCATCCGTCCGTCGAGACGGACAACGCAAGCTTGTGATTGGTCAGGACGCCGCTGTCGTTTACACCGCCACCATTGCGCCCTCAAAAACATAAAGAGAACCGAGGACAACTAGCGGCAGACACGGAGAAGCTTGAAGAATACCTCGCGACAAAACTCTAAAAATATGAACGTTTAATTCCCCCGTAACTGGAGGAGTGAAAAGATGCGCAGCAAGCGTTTTATTTGTGGACAGAAATGACAGGAAACGTGGGTTTAGAGGTGGCGAGCCCATGAAGAGGTGGAAGAATGAGAGACAAATATGTCCGTGTTAAAAGTCTTATATACACAAAAACACAATATAAACACACTATCTTGGACCGATACATGACAGAATACCACAGAACAGCGCTACGCCCTCTGTTGTCCTGGTGGGGGATTGCTTTGCAACACTCTCCAGGAGACGGAGAAGTATGAGAGCAAAACATTTCCGTCAATCCGTGCGTGTCTGTCCCTTGCGGAGCTGACGGAGAAGCATAAACCAGGCTTTAAGGCTTGACTGGAGACCTGGGGCGAAAATCCCATTCTTTTTGGGGGGGGGAGCTGTCTCCTGCTGTTTTGCTACTTGCAGGATGGGCCTCCAGCATGAGCACGTTAACTGAAAAAGCAGCTGATCAGAGGCAAGACTTTCTTCTGGTCCCTGAAACAGGAGCACCAGAGCTCCTCCCCTAAGAGAGGAACTCACAAGGCATTCATTTATCAGGGTTCCTACACATTGTTCAGTTCAGACCCCTTATGTAAATGATTAATAATTATTTCACAGCCCTACCGGCAAAACATATCCTTCAACTTTGTTCATCTATTTATCTTTTTTTTTTATTATATTTTGCCAAAATACTTGGTAGAGAACAGAAGAGCGGTTTGAGCTTTCCCAGAAAGGGTAGCTATGGTAACGTAAAACAAATGTTTAAATATAACAGCATCAGTAGTGTCGCACTCTGTCCTGTCTCCCCACTCTCTGCTCAGTCCTGTGTCTTCCCTAATTGCTCCCACCTGCCACTCGCCCCCCAATTACTGTAGATCCCAGCTCCTGTTGTATTTAAACCCTCCCTGTTCTGTGTTCCTTGTCCGTTTATCGTTTCATTGTCCGCGTGCTCGTCATTAAAACTTCTGCCGGCTTTTTCCCCTGCACCTTTGGGTCCTCACCTGCACCGTGACAAGTAGGGCAGGGTACAAGTAGATACTTCTTGATACTACTACTTTAATGATACTTTTGTTGAGATCTATTTTTTTTACTTTAAGAGAGTATAACAAACTACTTAAATATTTTGTTCTTATTGTTTATAATATTTTATTATATTTATTTATATTATACTTTATTTCAAAATTTTCTAAGCAAAACAGCAAAGCTACAGTGCACAGTAAAGGCACAACATTTATATGTATAAAACTAGCCTTCATTAATGCTTGCCTTCATGCCAGTAACAGCAGTAATAACAACCTGCTGAACTGCTGTTATAAAGCTGCTGTCATTTAGCAGCTTTATAACAGCAGTAATAACCTGCTGAACTGCTGTTATAAAGCTGCCGTTTAGCAGCTTTATAACAGCAGTAATAACCTGCTGAACTGCTGTTATAAAGCTGCCGTTTAGCAGCTTTATAACAGCAGTAATGACAACCTGCTGAACTGCTGTTATAAAGCTGCTGTCATTTAGCAGCTTTTTAACAGCAGTAATAACAACCTGCTGAACTGCTGTTATAAAGCTGCCGTTTAGCAGCTTTATAACAGCAGTAATAACAACCTGCTGAACTGCTATTATAAAGCTGCCGTTTAGCAGCTTTATAACAGCAGTAATAACAACCTGCTGAACTGCTGTTATAAAGCTGCCGTTTAGCAGCTTTATAACAGCAGTAATAACAACCTGCTGAACTGCTGTTATAGCAGCTTTATAACAGCAGTAATAACAACCTGCTGAACTGCTGTTAAAAAGCTGCCGTTTAGCAGCTTTATAACAGCAGTAATAACAACCTGCTGAACTGCTGTTAAAAAGCTGCCGTTTAGCAGCTTTATAACAGCAGTAATAACAACCTGCTGAACTGCTGTTATAAAGCTGCCGTTTAGCAGCTTTATAACAGCAGTAATAACAACCTGCTGAACTGCTGTTAAAAAGCTGCCGTTTAGCAGCTTTATAACAGCAGTAATAACAACCTGCTGAACTGCCGTTTAGCAGCTTTATAACAGCAGTAATAACAACCTGCTGAACTGCTGTTATAAAGCTGCTAAACAATTAAATTCAATTCAAAAATACTTTATTAATCCCAGAGGGAAATTGCTGTAGTAGCTCAGAATAATAATAATAATGAAGTCATCAAAGAGTTGTTGTATATTACAATGGCTGTTGGCAGGAAGGATCTCCAGTAGCGGTCAGTGTTGCAGACTGCAGCTCCTCCAGTGTTTTGGAAGGGGGTGGGCTCAGGTTTACTCTTTTGCAGTCAAATACGTTTTATGTTTCAGCTCTCAACATGTTGCCCTGCACAAAGAGGCGTTTTGTTAAATTGCTGGTATTCCTGGTTTTTGCTGCACAAATCTTCTAGCTGGTGTTGCTGCTGCTTACTTTAGCTAAACGCACACAAACATTTGAGTTTTTTAGCATTTTCATCCACGAACTGCAGAGTTTTGTTGAAAGGAGACTCGTCTCCTCCACTCATAACTTGGGATCAGTCATGTGACCCACGGTGGCACATTGGGACATTTTAATACTTGTTTTCTGATATCGGTACCTACCGAACATCTTCACTCAGTCCCAAAGAGGTCCAGAGTTCTGGCACCCCACCCTGGGCGTCAGTCAACCGATGTTGTGTTGTTATGTTCACCATTTTGTATCACTGCTGTAGCGCGGGAGCCGAATACAGAGCTGTTTTAGGCTGAGGAGCGTTTCTGGAACAAGACTATAAAAGGAGCTGAGTCCGTGTTTGGAGTATTTTGACCCGAGGCTTCGCTGCGTTCTAAATTATTGGTTCTGCCACTCTTTATTTATACTTCATTATTTGATAAAAATTATTGTGGTTGACAAATGAAAATTTAGAGGATAAATACAGTACGGAGAATTTACACACAAATTTTGAGACCCAGTTGTCAAAATTCAAGACTTTTTAAGATATTATTTCCAAATTCCTAAATTCAATGCTTTTAAGGCTTTTTAAGGCCCCATGGGAACCCTGTTTATGAGGGATGTAACGATTCACTCAAGCCATGATTCAGTTCCATTCCTGGTTTTAAGTTCACAAATCCAAATTTTTCGATTTTTGTCTTGTCGGTGTTTTGTTCACCCTTTTCATTTGTAAACACAGAGAAGCCAACAAGCTACCACACTGTTGTCTTCAAACTGATTCAAGCGTCCACTATCTTGAAGTTGCTTGCTGTATCCATGCTTTCGTTCTTTTTTAAACACAGAAACAGTTTTGTTTACCTGTTTGTAGCTACGGTTTCGCCGACAGCTGCCGGCTTCTTCAGGCTGACGCTGATGGTGGCGCGTCACTTCCTTCTCCGTTTATCTGCGGGCAGCAGAGGACGTTGTCGCCCTCTACTGCCCACTCTCCCCTCTCCGACGATGAAGCCATAGCCACCGCCCCCCCAAACTGCAAAATAAAACTATGGAAACGCTACGTGGACGACATACTGGAAATCATACCAAAAGGTCAAACAGAAACACTAACACAACACTTAAACAATATTGACTACACGGGCAACATAAAATTCACTTATGAGTTAGAAACAGAAGGCAGCATAGCATTTATGGACATGAAAATCACCAGGCAGACCGGCGGGACCCTAAACATAAACACATACAGGAAACCAACACACACAGACCAATATTTATTATGGACATCAGAACACCCCACCATACACAAAATGTCAGTAATCAGAACATTATATCACCGAGCAAACATAATAACAGAAGAGAGAGACCGTAAACAAGAGGACAAACACATACAACACGCTTTAAAGACCTGCGCATACCCGACATGGGCAATAAACAAAGGAAAACAACAAACAAAAACAGAAAGCAAAGAACAACCCAAAAAAAGAACCAGAAACCCAGAAAGACAAGAACCAAAACCAGTGATAACCCTATCATACATCAGAGGCATAACGGAAAAAATAAGAGCAACAATGAAAAAACACAACATAAACACACCAACAAAGCCATACACAACAGTTAGAAACAGACTGGTACACCCAAAAGACAAAATATCAGCTGGACAAAAATGTGGAGTCATCTACGAAATCCCATGCAAAATATGCAATAAAACATACATAGGAGAAACCGGACGCCAACTCAACACACGAACAGTAGAACACAGAAAGGAGTGCGAGAAAGAGGCAAATCGTAATCACACAAGAGCAGCAAAAGAAGAAGCAGAAAGTACAATAAAAAAGTCAGCCGTAACAGATCATTGCTTAAGAGAAAACCATATAATGACTGGGACAACACACGGATCATAACCACCGAACAACTAAAATACAAAAGATGGATCAAGGAAGCAATCGAGATAAGGAGACGTGGATGTGGGACCATGAACAGGGACGACGGAGTTTACACGCTGGACCACGCATGGGACTGCATCGTCGGAGAGGGGAGAGCGGGCAGTAGAGGGCGACAACGTCCTCTGCTGCCCGCAGATAAACGGAGAAGGAAGTGACGCGCCACCATCAGCGTCAGCCTGAAGAAGCCGGCAGCTGTCGGCGAAACCGTAGCTACAAACAGGTAAACAAAACTGTTTCTGTGTTTAAAAAAGAACGAAAGCATGGATTTACAAAGACACAGCAAGAACACACCTAAGATGTTGCTTGCTGTAGCCATGCTTGCCTCTAGTGTTGCGACTGATCTCACGGTTTGGATCGTATCACGGTTTTCGGTCTTGGATCGGGTCGTTTTTCGGATCAGCAGAAAGAAACAGACCAGAAAAATCAAAAAGTTTTGCTCTCTCTTTATTTTCTCGAACACTTAGTGCAAGGATTTCTGCTCATTGTGCAACTTGCTATAAAAGCAGGAGTTACAGAGAGGTATGATTGCTGATTACTTGTTAAAACGGCTTGCCCTACATAGACACGCTGCGATCAGCAGCAACACAGAGATGATGCTACCTGCTGTATCAGCATCACAACCTGGCGAAACAGTAAAAACCAGCATGAATATCTGTCATATTTACAGGTGCTGGCCAGTAAATTAGAATATCATCAAAAGGTTGAAAATATTTCAGTAATTCCATTCAAAACGTGAAACTTGTACATTATATTCATGCAATGCACACAGACCAATGTATTTCCAATGTTTATTACGTTTAATTTTGATATTTATAGGTGACAACCAATGAAAACATCAAATCTGGTATCTCAGAAAATTAGAATATTCTAAAGGCCAATGAAAAAATGTTTGTTTCTCTAATGTTGGCCAACTGAAAAGAATGAACATGAAAAGAATGTGCATGTATAGCACTCAATACTTAGTCGGGGCTCCTTTTGCCTCAATAACTGCAGTAATGCGGCGTGGCATGGACTCGATCAGTCTGTGGCACTGCTCAGGTGTTATGAGAGCCCAGGTTGCTCTGATAGTCGTCTTCAGCTCCTCTGCATTGTTGGGTCTAGCGTATTGCATCCTCCGCTTCACAATACCCCATAGATTTTCTATGGGGTTAAGGTCAGGCGAGTTTGCTGGCCAATCAAGGACAGGGATACCATGGTCCTTGAACCAGGTGCTGGTGGTTTTGGCACTGTGTGCAGGTGCCAAGTCCTGTTGAAAGGTGAAGTCTGCATCCCCATAAAGTTGGTCAGCAGCAGGAAGCATGAAGTGCTCTAAAACTTCCTGGTAGACGGCTGCATTGACCCTGGACCTCAGGAAACAGAGTGGGCCAACACCGGCAGATGACATGGCACCCCACACCATCACTGACGGTGGAAACTTTACACTGGACCTCATGCAACGTGGATTCTGTTCTTCTCCGCTCTTCCTCCAGACTCTGGGTCCTTGATTTCCAAAGGAAATGCAGAACTTGCTTTCATCAGAAAACATAACTTTGGACCACTCAGCATCAGTCCAGTCCTTTTTGTCCTTGGCCCAGGCGAGACGCTTCTTGCGCTGTTTCTTGTTCAAGAGTGGCTTGACACACGGAATGCGACACCTGAATCCCATGTCTTTCATGAGTCTCCTCGTGGTGGTTCTTGAAGCGCTGACTCCAGCTGCAGTCCACTCTTTGTGGATCTCCCCCACATTTTTGAATGGGTTTGTCGTCACAATTCTCTGCAGGGTGCGGTTATCCCTAGAGCTTGTACACTTTTTTCTACCACATTTTTTCCGTCCCTTCGCCTGTCTGTTAATGTGCTTGGACACAGAGCTCTGCGAACAGCCAGCTTCTTTAGCAATCACCTTTTGTGTCTTGCCCTCCTTGTGCAAGGTGTCAATGATTGTCTTTTGGACAGCTGTTAAGTCAGAAGTCTTCCCCATGATTGTGGTGCCTTCAAAACAAGACTGAGGGACCTTTTAAAGGCCTTTGCAGGTGTTTTGAGTAAATCAGCTGATTAGAGTGGCAGCAGGTGTCTTCTATATTCAGCCTTTTCAGAATATTCTAATTTTTTGAGATACCAAATTTGGAGTTTTCATTAGTTGTCACTTATGAATATCAAATTTAAATGTAATGAACATTGGAAATACATTGGTCTGTGTGCATTGCATGAATATAATGTACAAGTTTCACGTTTTGAATGGAATTACTGAAATATTTTCAACCTTTTGATGATATTCTAATTTACTGGCCAGCACCTGTATTAGTAAAAAAGTATCTGCTGGTACCTTTAATTTCCATGATGACTAGTTAGAATAATACTTAGACTAGGATCCAGGATATTGTCGCTATGTGAAAATAGAAATGAAGCTAAAAAAAAAGGTGTGATTACTGATTAAATGTTAAAAGCGCCAGCCATAACAGTATGGTGTAACGCAGGGGTGGGCAATTATTTTTTCCATGGGGCCACATGAGAAACAGATGGCTCACGAAAAAATGGCGCTCACGCCGAAACGATCGTTGCACGCCGCGAACCTTCATGGCGCTTAGGCACCTGGTGTGTTCCGGGCGTAATTCAGTGGGATGCAAAAGTTTGGGAAGCCGTGTTAATCTTCATGATTTTGATGTGTGTAATTGTTTAAACAAAATTAGGCACATGCATCATTGGCAGGTGCAAAAGGTCCTATAAACTTTATTTCACTTATCAAATACCACTGTGTGTGTCTTTTATGTGATATATTTAACTCAATTTTTTGTTCTAACAACCAACAATTTATACAAGAAAACCCTGAAGGCTGCCCAAGCTTTCACATCCCACCGTATGTTTGATATAAAAGGATCTGAGGGTTTGGTAACTTGGCTGAAATAACTAAATGAATGAAAAGGTGTCTTGATTATCCCGTACTTTTATGATGACATATAAACTCAAGACTTCTTTACCTTTGTGGTCTTAGAAAGCCATAAAAGCATTGAGTTTATGAATTTGGAAAGAATACCTTAAAAAGCCTTGAGTTTAAGTATCTTGGTCCTAAAGCCTGTGCTATATTTTAGTGGAGAAACAAATCATTGAATGGTTCAAAACAATAAATTCCTCAAATCATTTTTACTTATTCAAAGTTTCGATGAAAGACATGCACCGCAGCTTGAATCCATTCTATTGGTGAACAACGTAACAAGTACTTTGTTTTTCTTCGCCAGTAGGATCATGAAATAGGTATTAAGTTTTTTAAATAAATGGTCTTAAAAATATTTTAATTAAACTTGAAGGAACCCATGAACCCTGTTGAACAACTTCTCTCTTCCAGGTGAAGGTGGACAACCAGGAGATTGCCAGCATGGAGAGACAGTGTGTATTCATACCTGCTAACTAGCTACGACTTAGCTTGGATCATAAACTAATGTGTGTGTGTGTGTGTGTGCGTGCGTGCGTGCGTGTGTGTGTGTGTTTGTGTGTGTGTGTGTGCGTGTGTGTGTGTGTGTGTGTGTGTCCTCTCAGGCTTAGTGAGATCAGCGGCAGAACCAGACAAATCTTGGAGGAGGCTGAACACCTTGAGCAGGGTTCTGATGCAGCTCAGGGTAATGACTTGTTTTCTCATCCATGTCCTTTCTCATTGCTTCATTGGTTATTCATCTGCTACTGAGAGGGCTCTTTTAGGTTAGTTAATGAAATACTGACGACTTTCCTCTAACTGTTTTTTTTTTCAAGGGGAGTGTCAACAGAAATACAAGATGTTAAAAAGGAAAGAGGATGAAATGGATGGTGAGTTACACCATGGTAAAATGTTATCACTCAACTCACACATCATCATAGTACTACCTTGAACAAGATCTGGTGTGATCTGTTAGCGTTCAGTCTGTGGATGCAATGACTCTTAGCCGCATCAGCAGTGCTTGAAGTGGAGAAAAATAAGTGTCTTGTCTATATTATAGTCTAAATGGGAAATGGCACAATGAAATGAATGTAAATATGACTACAGCTTATGATATGATTGAGAAAACACCTCATACTTTGTCTTGCTAAATAGACCAGCAGCCTGGAGAGGCCATAATTCCTCAAACGGTTTTGAACCCAGAAAATTGCATCGAGTCACTGACTAGTGTGAGAGAGATTAGAAGTAGTGTTCAAGCCGATGGCCCCCACCATGAGGCTACCACATCTCACCAGAACATCACTGTAGTTTCTTCTGGGGAGAAAAACACTAAAGCCCCCTTCAGACAGGCCATGAAAAACGGAAATGTTCCGGACTCTGTCCGTAAGACCTTTGTGTCTGAATACAAACATCCGGATAACGTTTTCCGTAATTAAACTGGACGAAGCCCCTAGTAACAGGACCGGACTTGTTACGGATAGGGTGGCTGCTTCAGACTTGTGAGGTCGAGTTCCGGACTGGGAGGAGGGGGAGGAGGAGGGGGCCAGGGGACGCTGTGCACACCTAGATAGCTCGCTCCTGTAGCATGCGGCGAACCATGGCAGCTCGCCTCCTACGGTACTGTCTCCTAGACGCGCGACGGAGCGCATCACACCGCTTCCGTGATTCCTTTTAACCATTGAGCTTCATCATCCAGGTTTCTTATGTGTCTTCGTGTGCGCAGAATTATGCTTAACATCAGTCCGATCAGTGAGAGGAATTCTATCTCTTCGTCCGCCATGTTTGACTGAATGGCTTTGTTTGGGTAAATGACGCGTGGACGCCCGCAGCACTATGTCCCCCCCTCCCAAGACATCTGGAACTTTTCCCTGCTGTGTGAAGGCAGCCGAAAGGACAAGTTCTGGTACAAAAGTGGTGTGTCTGAAAACACAGTTCCGGTTAAAAACCAGATTGAATTGTCCACACGTATTCCAGAATGTCTATCTGAAAAGGTTTTCGAGAAAAAATAAAGTTAACAGCTGAAATAGCAGGAAATAATACAGTTAAACCCTTTTCAGATAGACATTCTGGAATACGTGTGGACAATTCAATCTGGTTTTTAACCGGAACTGTGTTTTCAGACACACCACTTTTGTACCAGAACTTGTCCTTTCGGCTGCCTTCACACAGCAGGGAAAAGTTCCAGATGTCTGGGGGGTTGAGGGACACATAGTGCGGCGGGCGCACACGCGTCGTTTACCCAAACAAAGCCATTCAGTCAAACGTGGCAGAAGAGATTGTCATGACTCCCATCCTTCACCCTCCTCCACTTCCTCATTATACCTCCTCATTCAGCTCACCTTGTCCTCTCACCAAGCTCCAGCCAAGCCCTGTTTTCCCCAGCAACCTCTGTCAGCTTCAATCAGCTCCATTCATTCCACCTGCTCCTGTAATCAGCCTCATCCCATTCACCTGCTTCCCCTGCTATAAAAGAACCAGCCATCCAGTCAACCGATGCCAGATTATTACAGCCTTGTCAGTAGTTCTCCAGCCATCCACCCTGCCTGATCTTTGCCTCTGGACCTTGTTTTTTGCCTGACCCCTGCCTTGCTCTCTGCCTGCCACTTTGACCTTAGCCTGCCTCTGAACCTGCCTCAGCCTTGCCCTCCAGGTACCTCTGCTTTCAATAAAGAAATATATATATATATTTTTACTGTGTTGGCGTCTTCACGGGTCTTCTGAGTTCTGTTTGTGACAGAATAATCTGGCCAAAAATCTGACCCAACGCTGACACAGCACTTGGAGTATTTTTTTTCTTTTTTTTCATCGTACCTGTCATGGAGGATCTCACGCTCCTGGAGTTTATGGAGCTAGAGAAGGAGCAGGAGTCACCGTTCTGGGGAACGCGGCTGGCCATCAGGCCAGAGCCACGCAGAGGCTCCACTCCTCTGTCCAGGCCTGCTGCAAACGTCTTGTGCAGCGGGTTCATGACCACGCCGCTCCAGCCTCAAACCCCTCCTGTCAGGTCACTACGGCTGCGGTCCCGGAGGTTTTCTGGAGCTGATAAGAGGGTTAATCCTTCTCCCGTGCTGGTGTCGGCGGGTTCCACGGACGGCACCTCATGTTCTGCTTCTGGACCGGTCCCGACGGAGGAGATTGTTCAGGGGATGATGCAGATGGTCGAGGAGGCTGTGTGGGAGGTCTTTGCCAAGCCAACCTGCCCCCACTTACGTCTGTGGGCGGCTGATAGGTTAAATGTCATCTTCTCCACCCATCCAGAGTTGATAGCGGTCCCAGCAGTTGGTAATTACTACATTTATGTCCGGAGGGTATATGGGTCTGCACTGAAGGATGTCGCCATGGAGGGTCTGACCTGCTGTGAGAGGTGGTCACCTTCCCCAGAACCCTCCAACGTGTCGCATCCTGCTCCGGCGGTGGTCCCGGTGGACGCATCGCATCCTGCTCCGGCGGTGGTCCCGGTGGACGCATCGCATCCTGCTCCGGCGGTGGTCCCGGTGGATGCATCGCATCCTGCTCCGGCGGTGGTCCCGGTGGACGCATCGCATCCTGCTCCGGCAGTGGTCCCGGTGGACGCATCGCATCCTGCGCCGGCGGTGGTCCCGGAGGACGCATCGCACCCTGCGCCGGCGGTGGTCCCGGAGGACGCATCGCACCCTGCTCTGGCGGTGGTCCGGGAGGACGCATCACACCCTGCTCTGGCGGTGGTCTCTGAGGACGCATCGCACCCTGCTCTGGCGGTGGTCTCTGAGGACGCATCGCACCCTGCTCTGGCGGTGGTCTCTGAGGACGCATCGCATTCTGCTCTGGTGGTGGTCCCGGGGGACGCATCGCATTCTGCGCTGGCGGTGGTCCCGAGGGACTCATCGCATCCTGCTCTGACGGTGGTCTCGGAGGACGCATCGCATCCGGCTTCGACGGATGAGGTCCAAGAGGCCCCGGTCCCGGCCCAGCCTGTCCAAGGGGCTCCGGCCCAGCCTGTCCAAGGGGCTCCAGTCCAAGGGTCGACGCCTCCAGGCTCTGAAGAGGACCTCTCCTGCCCCTGCTCTGAAGAGGACCTCTCCTGCCCCTGCTCTGAAGAGGACCCCTCCTGCCCCTGCTCTGAAGAGGACCCCTCCTGCCCCTGCTCTGAAGAGGACCCCTCCTGCCCCCGCTCTGAAGAGGACCCCTCCTGCCCCCGCTCTGAAGAGGACCCCTCCTGCTCCTGCTCTGAAGAGGACCTCTCCTGCCCCTGCTCTGAAGAGGACCTCTCCTGCCGCTGCTCTGAAGAGGACCTCTCCTGCCCCTGCTCTGAAGAGGACCTCTCCTGCCCCTGCTCTGAAGAGGACCCCTCCTGCCCCTGCTCTGAAGAGGACCCCTCCTGCTCTCAAGTTCCCCAGTCTGAAGTTCCCCAGTCTGAAGTGTCTGTGTCCCTCTCCTGACCCTGCTCTGAAGAGGACCTCTCCTGCCCCTGCTCTGAAGAGGACCTCTCCTGCCCCTGCTCTGAAGAGGACCCCTCCTGCTCTCAAATTCCCCAGTCTGAAGTTCCCCAGTCTGAAGTGTCTGTGTCCCCTCTTAGTCGTGGTCCAGTTTCCCCTCTTAGTCGTGGTCCAGTTTCCCCTCTTAGTCGTGGTCCAGTTTCCCCTCTTAGTCGTGGTCCAGTTTCCCCTCTTAGTCGTGGTCCAGTTTCCCCTCTTAGTCGTGGTCCAGTTTCCCCTCGTAGTCGTGGTCCAGTTTCCCCTCGTAGTCGTGGTCCAGTTTCCCCTCGTAGTCGTGGTCCAGTTTCCCCTCGTAGTCGTGGTCCAGTTTCCCCTCGTAGTCGTGGTCCAGTTTCCCCTCGTATTCGTGGTCCAGTTTCCCCTCGTAGTCGTGGTCCAGTTTCCCCTCGTAGTCTTAGTCGTGGTCCAGTTTCCCCTCGTAGTCCTCGTCCGCCAGTGTCCTCTGTCACCACACTCCTACGGTCCCGGCTCCTGGTTCCCCGTCGTCTGCCCCCCAGACTCCCACGGTCCCGGCTCCTGGTTCCCCGTCGCCGGCCCCTCAGACTCCCACGGTCCCGGCTCTTGGTTCCCCGTCGCCGGCCCCCCAGACTCCCACGGTCCCGGCTCCTGGCTCCCCGTCGCCGGCCCCCCCAGACCCTTACGGCCCTCCTTCCTGGTCCCCCTCCTCCCGCCCTGCTCTGGCCCTCCTTCCTGGTCCCCCTCCTCCCACCCTGCTCTGGTTTCCTGTGGGCGTCTGGTATCCGCCCTTGAGGGGGGGGTTCTGTCATGACTCCCATCCTTCACCCTCCTCCACTTCCTCATTATACCTCCTCATTCAGCTCACCTTGTCCTCTCACCAAGCTCCAGCCAAGGCCTGTTTTCCCCAGCAACCTCTGTCAGCTTCAATCAGCTCCATTCATTCCACCTGCTCCTGTAATCAGCCTCATCCCATTCACCTGCTTCCCCTGCTATAAAAGAACCAGCCATCCAGTCAACCGATGCCAGATTATTACAGCCTTGTCAGTAGTTCTCCAGCCATCCACCCTGCCTGATCTTTGCCTCTGGACCTTGTTTTTTGCCTGACCCCTGCCTTGCTCTCTGCCTGCCACTTTGACCTTAGCCTGCCTCTGAACCTGCCTCAGCCTTGCCCTCCGGGTACCTCTGCTTTCAATAAAGACTTTTTATATATATTTTTACTGTGTTGGCGTCTTCACGGGTCTTCTGAGTTCTGTTTGTGACAGAATAATCTGGCCAAAAATCTGACCCAACGCTGACACAGCACTTGGAGTATTTTTTTTCTTTTTTTTCATCGTACCTGTCATGGAGGATCTCACGCTCCTGGAGTTTATGGAGCTAGAGAAGGAGCAGGAGTCACCGTTCTGGGGAACGCGGCTGGCCATCAGGCCAGAGCCACGCAGAGGCTCCACTCCTCTGTC